GGTTATTTTTGTTAACTGCCATCTGATTGGGACTAGAACTGTTCCTTCCATATTCGAGCTGCCCTCTTTCTAGGATGGTTGAGAACAGCTACTATTACTTGAATTCCTAAGTACTAGAGCAGGCTGCTTCCCCAGGCTACTCTCTGCCTCAGGGGGTTGGAGACTGAAGGGCAGAGGACATCCCTGCTAGCAGCACTTTACTCCAGGCTGTGCCTCAACCAAAGGTTCATTTACTAATGGCTTCGCCGAGACCTCTGCCAAGTCTAGAAGGTTAGGGACAGATTTACTTGTCCTCTATTCACTATTTTTCACTTTACGTCCTGCAAGTACAGACCATTAAAGAAACTAAACTGCAGATCTAAATATTCCCACATGGGGAGCACCAGGAGGGACGCCCCTCAGCTTGTTATTTTTGCTGCATTTGTTAAGACGTAATCTACTCCCTCCTCAGTTATACAATGCTGCCTAGTCCCTTTTGCCCCTGAAGCAGACAAGAGCAGTTAGCCCTGCTCCCGTGCTCTTAGGTACCTCCAAGGCTGCCAGTCAGAGAACTTTTCCACATGAGAGTGGTATTTATTCTAAGCTCATCCTTTGATGAAGCTTTAGTAAAATTGCGGAAATCCATAGATCTTAATTACATCCTTTATTTCAATTGCGTTGCAAACACAAGAAAGAAGGAAAGGATACTTGATCTGTTCTTGTTCTAAGGATAGGGACTGCCCTACAGGTGAGAAGTCCAATCAGGTGTCTGGGGCTCACGGGCTGAAGGGAGATCAAGAGAGGTGCTCCTCAAAGAAATCGTTTTGCTCAAGGCTTTTGATTCAGCCAGTGGGAGTGGCCTGACACACTGAGGATGGAGAGCTTATCTATGGGTGCCAAGATGGGGGGGCCCTTTCTTAGAAGGTTTCTCTCTTCCCTCCACCTTCTTTGTTCAGTTTTACATGATCAATTCTTTCCTGGGCACTAGCCTGGCTCTCGTATCTATTTTAAAACATTACAATGAAGAGGCAACTCTTGAACATACACGTTAACTTAGATCTCTGCTTTATCATTTTCATAAACTATTTCCATGGCACCTCTCAACTAGAGGTGGAATCGTTACAAAACGTTACAGGTAGAAAAATGAGGATTTCTCAAGTTGGAAAATGCTCCTAAACTGCTTGATCTTCTTGGTCAGATTTTTTCAGAAATGAGCCTCCCAAATTTAGCACTATATTCTGATATACTCACTTAACAGTGCCAGTCTTCCTCGGAGCAGCAGCGGGTGAGAAAGTAACAAAACCTATTACTTCAGTGTCTTTAAGAGGTAGACGATGGAGGCCGATTTTGCTTTACCAAAAGCAGTATCATCAGAATAGAGGCAAGGGTTCAGCTGGTATAGAATGTAGTGGCCCAAGTGAGACATTTTTCACATTATTATTCCACCTCATTAAGCTGGAGTATGCACTTATGGATGCATTTCTTCATCTTGGTGAAATGGATTTAATGACGGCTTGTATAATGGAGCAAATTATTCCTACTCAATAAAAAGCAGGAGCGTGGAACTCAAGATGAGTTGCAGAAATCTTGGAAGAGCTGCCCCAACCCCCACGCATTGTCACCCATGGTTCTCATTTCCTTTGGTGAAACACATACTAGAACCATGATGTAGTGAAAGAACATGGGTTTTCTGGCCTCGAAGTCCTGAGCTGGCACCCTAAGTCAGTCACTTCCTGGCACTCTAGGTAATCTCTGCACCTCCGTCTTCCATCTGTTAGACAGTGATCCCACCCACCAACACTTGCAGAACAGTGCCTGTGACTGAATTTATCATCTGTCAGGAGCCTACTGCATTACCTGGCACTTAGGGACAGATTTATGTTGGCAGCCCAGGAACATCATCAATAAAAACACATAAAAGCATTCTATGTGCTAACACTTCTGAATTTAAACTATACTTCATATTCTCTTTGAAAGTTTAACACTACATTCTGATAAATCTTGGCTCTTGGCGAGGTTATACTCCTGGTTCCTATTCTAACCTTTAAGTCAGTAAATGAAGAACACAAGTTATATAACAAACATTCCCCTCCAGCTTTGGGTTTAACAGTAGGTGAAAACTAATTAGAAAGAATACTTGCCATGACCTGAGCTGAAATCAAGAGTTGGACGCTTAACCAACTGAGCCACCCAGGCGCCCCTTAATAAAATAAAAAAATATATAAACACTTGCAGAACGAGAACTCCAACTATGAAAGACAAAATATGTGTATTTACTTGCTTAGATTTGGGAGCCTAATTGCTCACAAAAGGATTCATAGATGTTTCTTTATTGTTAAGCTGCAACATACATGGTTTAATACAACAAAAAAAACATTTAATCAAGTGAAAAATAATAAACTGAACAATAAACAAATAAACACTCAAAACAAAGTATTTTCCATTGGAAACATGTTAAGATGAATACGGGGTTTCGTTACCATCTTACTGCAATTTTTTTATGTGTTACTAGCCTACATACCCCATGTTTTCTGTAATCATGCAGGTGTGAATGGGAGTTTGAATGATTAAATACATGAAAAGTCCGTTTACTGCAGAGAATCATTTCACAAGGCAGCCAAACTGGGTTTAGAGAACAAAATTATTCAAGAAATTCTCCACGTATTTAGGTTCATTTTAGAATCCATGAACCTTAAGCTGTTCCTCCTTGACAATGCCAACCTGCAAAACAAAATGTAACAGAATCACTCTGAGAAATGTATGTTTCACCAAGAAAACATGGAGTGCTGATTATAAAAAGAATCATTGTTAATAGTCTATGGCAACACTGTTACTTGCCCTGTTAAGTGTTAACACTAAACAATTCCACACACACTTACATACCTTGACATGCCCAAAACTCAACTGGCCACGTAGATACAGGAATGATCAGGTCATTCGAATGACAACATAAATGAATAAAGGTTCTACTGACTTCAAAATAAGTACCAACTTTGTATTTCTCTCTCAATTTACCAATTTACCTCATTCATATGATTTTTCTTTTTTTTTTTTCCACTACGGAGGAAATAATTCATGCTGCCCTTGAACACAATTTTGGAAGCAATCTCAAGGTTGTACATAAAGCACCCAAGCACTCACCTCCAAGAGAAACTGGCAAATGTTTTTTCTTTGGTCACCTTGAAGCTGAATAACCTCTCCGTATTCAGGATGTTCAATCACAGTACCATTACAGGCGAATTTCTGGAGAAATATATGTTTAGTTATAACATAACTAAAGTCAGATACAATGAGGTTTTATTTTCACTATAAGACTAATATTGACTCTTTCAGTAGACCTGATCATGTTTAAGAAACAGGTTTTGTCTCCTGTAATACCCAACGCTACCAAATTAATTTGCAAATGAATCAGCAGGAAACATAACGGAAATGATTTTACTTGGAACATCAAGAACTGAGTATTTCACATTTTGTTTGAAAGCCATGAAAATATTATTTTAAAATGGGAGACAACACAAATATCTGGGCGTTAAGAGAATGAACACAGCTTTCTTGGGTCCAACAACATTCACCCACACTAATTAAGAGTCAAGTAAAGGTGTCCTGTTCAGGAGTGCATCAAATAACTACAGTTTAACCTTTTCTTCCCAACACCTTTACCTTTTTGAAAGCTTTCACAAGTTTCTTTTTGTCATAATCATCTGCAATGCCCTGGACAGTCGTCAGTGTCTTTCTGCCGTTCCGTTGCTGGATTCTTATATGAATGTAATCCTCAGTCCCTGCCGGGAGTAAGTCGTCACCCTTAGTTGCATCAGCAAAGGGGTCTGCAAAGGGATACAAAAAATATTCCAAAGCAGAAAAACATCTTTTAGTAAGTAATTTCTAGATGCAGGGCACACTACAGTCTAGACAGTAAAGAAGGTTCTAGTGCCTCTGCTATTTTTGCGGGTGGGGATGGGAGGGCGTAATGGGGGTGGGGTGTTAACAAAACCACCAAGGTACTCTCACAAAAAGAGGAAAAATATAAACAGCTACGTCCACGGACACCGAATAGAAACCGTGTTACAGGTAGATTGGTATCACTGAACGTAGTCCTCTAATGAGAGAAGCGGTTTTGAAAACCGTAATTTTGCAGCTACTATAAAAATGTGCGTCACCTCGATTACATTCTGATGACAACAGAAACATTCAAACGTGTCCACCCCAATCATTTAACCGTAACGGTGCCCTTAACAAGTAAAAAAGAAGAAGATACCTACATATACACATACGCACATAGACGTATCTGTCAAGAGGCGTAATTTTACAAATTACTACGCCAACAGAGAAGCCGGACCGCGGCCCTGTGACAGATCAGAGGCCCGGGTCCGCTTCTTTAACCAAACGCCCGCAAGAGCTGCTCGGAACCCGCTCCGACCACCGATGGACGCCGACCCCCAGCCCCCGGCCCGGCGCCCACTCGCGAGGGAAGGGCAGGTCCAGGAGCGGCGGGCCGGGCTCGCAAAGGCGGCGGCGGCTGGGGCGAGGCGGGAGCCGGGGCAGGGACCGGGCAGGGGGTTCCGCGGGGAGGGAGCGGGGGCCGCGGCCGCCCTCGGGGAGGGGGTCGCCGGGGGCCCAGTCGCCATCTTCTGGGCGCCGAGACAAAGCCCCACTCGGGGTGCGGGAAGGCAGCAGGGGGGCCCTCGGGGCTGCGGCCCGGGCGACGGCGGGTGGGGGCGGCCGGATCTTACCGAAAGATTGGAGGTTCTGGATAGTGGACATGCGATACTAGTGTGAGGCCGGTGAGGGGATAAAATTCCTGCGGGGCCCGCCCGGATCACCGTGTCTGGAGGCTGCAGTGGCGAGAAAACGTAAATAAATAAGGAGACGCTTCGCCCCTGGGTTGGGATTCGGCTGGAGCGGCGGCGGCGGCGGCGGAAGCCGGGAGGAGGCAGGAAGAGGCGAAGGAGGAGGCGGAGGAAGAGGCGGCGGCCACGGAGGCAAAGACGCGAGAGAAGAGGCGGCGCTGTGGCTTCTCCCACAAAATGGCCGACGGAGGCTATTTAGCCGCGCCCGCCGCCCCTCCCTCGTGACCCACCCGCGCCGGGCATCCTGGGACATGTAGTTTCCTGGGGGCGGCAGAGGCCATCCAACCTGGGGCCGGCGGGCTTATGGGACCGCAATTCCCGGCAGGGAGCACGCCCTCCGGCGCCGGTGGCCGGGCGGGGAAGGGTTCAGGGGGCTGCGGAGACGTCCGGACAGAGCCAGCGGGTTTTGGGGACTGTGCGCTCCCCGCGCTCGGGCGCTCTCCTTGACTCCCTTTCTCTCGCCAAACAGCGGCGGCGCCAAGGGGTCAGTATGGGGGGACATTCTTCGTTAGTCCCCGTCGAGGCCTGGGGTAGTATAAGTAAAACCAGGGTGCAGAAGCAAAACAAGTACCCTGGCCCTGGCTTTCGACTCGTCAGCTGCCGCTCATCACCTCCTGCGTCGCAGTACCGTCCCCCCCTCTGACCCCGGCCCCTGGCCCCAGTGGCGCGAGCCACGTTAGTCCCCACGGGGGCTGGAGGTGAGAGGGCCCCCTGACCACCCCCAACCCCCGCCCCGGGTTGGTCTGCCCTCCGAGTCCCGAGCGCGGTGGCTCTCAAACTCCAGCGTGCCTCTCGCGGAGGGCTTGGTAAAACACGGACTGATGGACCTCAGAGCTTCTGTTTCAGGTCTGCGGTGTGACCCGACAATTGGCAAACCTAACAAGCTGCCAGGAGATGCAGGTGCTACTGGTCTGGGAACACACCGCAGAATCACTGCCCCGCTTCACCAGGGCCCGACATCCAGCGGGGGCCGGGATGTGTCGTCCGAACATACCAAAAAACCAGCCTGTCAGCTTGGACACGGAACCTTGAATAGGGTAGGTGCCAGACGTAAATTGAAAGTGAGCTCAGCAAAGAGGTTAACTGATACAGAGTCAGGTACCAGGGCTGTAACATCTTATCGAGAGAGCTACACACAGAAAACAAACCTGAGACTTTGGGAGTGGGTTCACCCAGGCAGGTGCTCAATTATCAAACTTGGTTGGCTTTCTGGAAGGAAAGAGAGAGACTAAAATTTAGGGATTCTTAACTTTTTTTTGTGCCGTGGCAGTCTTGTGAAACCTACGGACCCCTTCTCAGAATAATGCTTTAAGTGCATAACAAAACATGGAGGATTACAAAGCAAACTACTCATACTGAAATTAAAAACAATACGTTGATAACACAGTATCGTTTCTTTGCTAATGCATTAATTAACAAGATCTAGTAGCAGGTCTAACAAGTACTAGAATTTCAAAAAGGTGATGAAAGATATTTTGAGAGACTTGTGACATCAGAAATGTAATATGAAAATACCTATTCTATTAGTGCAAAGTGGCAGGTTCTTCTAATACCGCTGTGGTGTTGCCAGTATTCCTAATGGGGAAATGCTAAATTTTGCTTAGAGGCTAGTGAAAATATTGATGTAATCTTTTTTACTATCCAATTTTTGGGATTCCCCCAACCCTGCAGTTTTATCTATGGACCCGGGGTCTGTAGACCCCAAATTAAGAATACCTGGATTTAATAATCTTTTGTGATTAACAATAATGTTCTTACTGAATGCTTACTATTTGCCTGTTGGACTTACACACAGTATTATTGATCTTCCTAGCCATTCTGTGATATAGTTATAACTCTGTTGAAGATATGTAGAAATGGAGGCTCTCATAGGTTAAATAAATTGCCTTAAAAAATCCAATTCATGGGCACCTGGGTGGCTCAGTTGGTTAAGCGTCTGCCTTTGGCTCAGGTCATGATCTCAGGGTCCTGGGATCGAGTCCCTCATCAGGCTCCCTGCTCAGCGGGGAGTCTGCTTCTCCCTTCTGCCTGCCCCTTCCCCCAGCTCGTGTGCACGCTCTCTCTCTCTCTCTCAAAAATAAATAAATAAAATCTTTTTAAAAAATCCAATTCATAACTCTCAGGAATTTTACTACATTTTTAATCTTCCAATCTTGATGTAAATGAATAATACTTTTTTTTAACCCAAACTTAGGTGTAAGGTGTTAGAGCTGGTTCCAAAACAAGGAGAATCAAGCATTTTTTGTTGTCCATTTGTTGATCACAGCTACGGTGGTTTCTGTTCTTTGGTCTTACAGCTCTACAAGCATGCTTTAAAGTAATTTTTAACACTACTATAGGTGAAGTATAGGATAAACAAAATGCATAGCTGTTTCCTACTAGATGTCCATAACCGTTTTATATTACATTGTTTTTCAGAAGTAGACAAGGGTGGTCCAGTGAAGAATCAGATAACAAAGATACATACAGAAGTTAAAAAAAAAAAAAAAATCCAGTATCTTAGGGATTTCATGGTCATTACCCTTGGGAGGAGAATTCCTTTTTACTTCCTAGTGTTGAATCAGAAACCCCTAGAACCTCAGAAATCTTCAATAAAAGCCAACTATATAGGTTAGATACAATTGTGATTGTTATCTTAAAAATTTTTTGGACTCTCTGGTCATTGGTAGCTTTGTTTTTAGATTGACACTGTTCAATACAGGAGCCACTTGCCCCATGTGGCCACTGAGCACTTGCAGTGTGGCTGGTCCAAATTAATATAGGTTCTGCATATAAAGTACACACTGGCCTTTCAAAGATTTAAATTGTTTCCATTTTATCTGTTTCTTTTTACTTTTTAACATGTGGCCGCTGGAAAATTTAAAATTACATGTGGGCGGCTCACTGTTTCTATTAGACAGGGCTGGTTGAGAGTAAAGGGATTGACCTTATATGCAAAGTTATCAAAAAAGGAATAAACTGAAGCATTTAAAATCTAGTCTTTTTAGTTCTAGTAGTACTAGCCTAGTAGAAGGTGATTATTTCCTGCCTTATTTCAGAAAGGAGCATAGATCACTTGCAGAGAAGAGTAGTATTGACTAAAAGAAGCAGGAAAGAATAGAAAAAAGGTAGAAGAGTTGAAAAATGAAAGCCCCAAAGCTAGAGATAGACCCCAGGTCTGGATCTTAATTTCCTAATGGTTAAGACAAAGAGAAAACCAGCGAGAAAATTCGTATAGCTACAGGATAAAAACATACCGGTTGCGCAGGAGGAATGACTTTGCCTGGCCCTGAGCCACAGGAGCTGTTTTTCTTGGGCCCTCATAAAGGGGACACTGTGATGTAGTGGACAGCATCCCCAGCAGTTTGCCTACCGCGAAGACAATGGTGGGCTTTACGCAGCTGTTTGTTATATCTGCTAGATATGAAAACGTGCTCTCTGGTTAGAGCCTTGGGTCCTCATCCATCCGGCTGTGGCGGGCGGGTGAGAATGTGCCCCTCAGATTTCCTGCTTCAGTGAGCATAATTGATCAACAGCCCCAGCCCCTGCAGCGCAGGCCCGTTCTCCAGATGAGGGACTCAACTGATGGGCGACTTTCATCATGGACTCTCCATGGGCCTGGCTGAACTTTCCCAGCCTTGGGCTGAGATCCAAGATTCTTCTTATTCACCCCTTCTTTCCTCTCTCCTTCACAGGGTCACCTCCTCTGACTCCTTCCTCTTTCCCCCACAGGTGTTCCACCACTAAATCTCCTGCACATCTAAACCCATCTTGATGTCTGCCTCTCAAAGGACCCAAACTGATACACCTAACCCCCTGCTGGGTGGGACACAAGGTTCCACCTCTGCTGTATACTGTTGCACAGAGGCCATAAGAAAGAGCATGAGTTTCAGTCCATCCTTGAGTTTCCAGCTTATGCATGTAGGGTTCCAGCTTGCTTGGATCTTCTCTTCTTTCCCTTACCGTCCCACTGGACTCTTCATCAGATGTGGAGGTACAGTCTTACAGAAGCTGTTTAGTGATCCCTCACAATTACATAAGCCAATTCCCTATAACAAATTCCTTTCCGTATATTTGCATGTGTTCCACAGCGAAGCAGAACCAACAAGAGACATATACAGGTACTATCCCCAGCCCTGTGTGGGTATTGTGTACTGTTCCTCTAACCTTTTGGGTGGTTTCCTTACATTCATCAGTATTGTCCTAAATACTGGAGGAGGACCCAAGAGCTCTTTAGAGATCCCCCTCTCTCTGAAGCTCTTTCCAGTACTCTGTGAACTCTAACTGCCTTGGGCTCTTAACTTTTTCTGCTTAACTTAGGGAGTCTGCTGAGCTCTGCCTGTGTTTTCCTTGAAACTCTTTCAAGGCAGTGAGCTAGGGCAATCGCAGGGCTCACTGCATTTCTTTTCCATTTTCCATCTTTGAGGGATTGCTATCCTTTGATACAGAGTTTCTTGAAAAACTGTTGTTTATACTGTGTCCTGTGTTTTGGTTATTTTAGGTGGAGAATAAATTCAGTAGATTCATTTTGGTTGACAGCAAAAGTCCAGTACATGTATTTTGAATGGATGAATGAGCTTCTCCTTGGCATCCATCCTGAGATTAAACCCTTTGCTATAAATGTGTCTGACATTTGGATGGTGCAGTGACCTTGCCATATGGAGGTGCTACAGTGGTGTAAATGTATGCGTGTACAAATTTTTTATCCACCAATGGTGTAAATTTCTTATAGTACTAAAAACCTGTGCTTCAGAAGACTTTCAGAAATGTGTATTTCTATTTATTTTTTATAAGATTTTATTTATTTGAGAGAGAGAGCACAAGCAGGGGGCAGGGGTAGAGAGGGAGAAGCCGACTCTCCGCTGAGCAGGGAACCCAATGCAGGGCTCAATCCCAGGACCCTGAGATCATGACCTGAGCCGAAGGCAGAAGCTTAACCAACTGAGCCCCCCAGGCGCCCCTGGCTTTTAGAAATGTGTATAAATTATACCTATAAATTATGTTAACTGAATTTCTGTTACATTAGTTTGCCCATCTACCCAATTTTATACTTGAGAACTTGCAAATTTTCTTAGTATATCCAAGTACTGTGTAGGGCATTAAATATACTATGAATATTTGGTAAATATGAGTTGACCCACTTTATGGCTAAAAAGAGGAAACACATTCTGAACTGAGGCGCACAATAAGTGAGCGAAGGGAATTGCTGGTGGTATTTTGTAATCTTCAGCTGTGGGCCAGGAAATGTGCTAAGCACTTTATATTATTTTATGCTCTTCATAATAAAGTGAAATGGGTTTTATTATCCTATGTTACAGGTGAGGAAACTGAGACTCAAGAAGTTTAAACACAGAAAAATGTTTATTACTTCTTCAAGAACGCATAGCCAGTAAGTGGCATAGTCAGAATTTGAACCCAGGTTTGTCTGCCTCCAAATTCCATGCTCTTTCTCCTATATTCTGACTCCTTTATGGAGGTTAGGCGTACAGTTTGAGCCATACCATGTTTATTAGTATTTTTACAGGGAAAGAATAAGCAAATCTGGCCAATTGAAAACATGCAGAACATGGACCGGTGAAGTACGGTTTCCGTGGTTGCTGATAAGTGGCCTAAAATCACTCATGAATGTAGAAGTCACTAACGCTGGCTTAAAGTGTACACCAAAGCTAATTTTTCATGATGCCAGGGTTTTCATTGATAACAAATTAGTTATAAAAACCACAGTGCTCTAACTGATTGGAGATAAAAGAATGATTGGATCTTCCCTTCATCATAACCAAGGTAGTATTTCTCAGTTCCTTAACCTTATCCAGCTTCTGAGACAGTCCTGAGCCTCCTTCCTCCGTGAAGAGTACAAGTGAGTCCATTGACCAGGCGATAGTATCAGTCATTCAGCCTTTGTTGAGTGTCTGCAATGTGCTTCGTGCCCCTGCCAAGTGCTGTGACAAGAGACCTATGTTTGAATCAATTAGGGAGGAATTCAGTATGTGCTGGAGGTCAAGGGTGGCAAATATAAGCCCACTGATTTAAAAAGTGAATTTGTGTCATATTTTGTATAAAATTTATTCTCTTCGGGAAAGTATAATGAATTTCTAGCTTATCTTTACCAAATTTGGAAACACTGGTAGCAATTGCTCTACCTTAGCTGAGGGACAGTTCTTGAATTTGTCACAATACCTTTTATTTCTTATCGTTCCTTTAACATGGAGGCTGAGTGCCTATTGTCTTTGCCATTATCAGTGGCCCAGAAGACCGCCTGACTCGCTAAATGCTGGTGGTCTTGATTGGCAGCCTCTTGCTAGAGGCTTAGAGAAGGCATTATAGAGACTTTTAATGCATTTTCTTTAGTTCGAGCTTCCTGAGAATCAAGGGGTGGTGGGGAAGAAATGGGATGTATTTTAAGATGTAGGACTGATTTTGGAAGAGAGTCTATAGTTGCATATCAAAACTAGATGTTGAAAGGGAAGTATCGGACAGAGGAGTATTTCAGGAAAGAAATCTGTAGAAGGTCAGTAGGAAGAAAATCAGTTACTTCAGTTACAAACAGATACATGGAAGTGGGGCAGCGGGGGGAAGAGGGAGGGAAGGAGGCAGGACAGGGAGGAAAAGGCAGGCAGGATGCTCTGTGGAAAGAATTGCATCCATATGACAACAAAAGCCAAGACACAGTGGACACTTAGCCCAAGTAGAGTTTAGGACCTGGTCAAATAGAGGCCCACCTATTGTTCTAAAAAAGGTAAATTAGCTGTCATATTTCACATGAAAATTCAGATTTCTGTCTGCACTTAAAAAAATCTACATTGACCACTTATCTTTTTTTTTAATTTTTTATTGTTATGTTAATCACCATACATTACATCATTAGTTTTAGGAGTAGTGTTCCATGATTCATTGTTTATGCATAACACCCAGTGCTCCATGCAGAACGTGCCCTCTTTAATACCCATCACCAGACTAACCCATCTTCCCACCCCCTCCCCTCTAGAACCCTCAGTTTGTTTTTCAGAGTCCATCATCTCTCATGGTTCGTCTCCCCCTCTGATTTCCCCCCCTTCATTCTTCCCCTCCTGCTATCTTCTTCTTTTTTTTTTCTTAACATATATTACATTATTTGTTTCAGAGGTACAGATCTGACATTCAATAGTCTTACACAATTCTCAGCGCTTACCAGAGCACATACCCTCCCCAGTGTCTATCACCCAGTCACCCCATCCCTCCCACCCCACCCCCCACTCCAGCAACCCTCAGTTTGTTTCCTGAGATTAAGAATTCCTCATATCAGTGAGGTCATATGATACATGCATTGACCGCTTATCTTAAAAGAAAAATCAGTCAAGGCTGCTCTGTAGATATTTCACTTCTGATTGCCCAGGCAGTGGGACGATGATGTGAATGGAATTATGATGAAAAAAAAAAAAAACCAAACAATGAGTTAAGAAAATATTAAAAAAAAAAAAAAAAGAGGTAGAGCCATACGTGACCTGGATTGTTTCACCTTAGGGGACATTTTTGGGAAAAGTTAGTGCCAAGTGAAAGGGCAGAGTCATGAAGGAAGGAATTCGTGTCTCGTATTAAAAAGTTAAATTGAACCGTTTTGGCTGGAGAGAGCATCTGGTGGTACTGAATTTTTGGCTCCTCTTCTGAGTTGGGTTAGTCCAGCATACCTAATACATCAGCAGTTGCTGTTCTCTGTGTTAATCTTCTGTGCCCTGGGATTTGGGCAGAGATTGTGGGTTGCCACTTGATATCCATCCTCTCCTTTCTTAGTAAAACAGAGCTCCAGCTTTATTCTGGGCTGCAATGTGCCTGGCTGGAAGAACGTACTGCGTTTCAGTCTTTCTTGCTGGATGTGGCCAATGCAACATAGGCAGAAATGTTGAGGGGGCTTTCCAAAAGATCACTTAAAGGAAGCCGACTCGGTTCCGGAGTGTCCATTTCCTCCCCTTTCCACTTCCTCCCTGCTGCCTAGGAAGGAGACGGGCTGCTGGAAGTGCCACAGCCATCTTGTGTGATGAGCTGACCTTGCCATATGGATGGACTGCAGCTGGTGGCGCAGAATGATAGAGGGAGCCTGGGGCCACGGACTGCCCCTCTCTGGTCTTGTTACCTGACGCAAGGAACTCCATGTGCTTAAGCCTCTGCTATTTTGGGTTTTCAGTTAAATGAAGTGGAACCCAGCCTGAAGAGTGTTCCCATGAATGGGAACCCCAGGACTCAGGGAAGCTGGGCACGCACTTTCCTCGTGCCCCTGTCAGTGCTGTCTGTGGCCTGGGTTATGCCTTTGGTGCTGTGATCCAGGAGAGTTGGGCCTGCTACAACGTGGGTGCTAGGAGGATGTGCTAGAAACAAACTGATGGTACCTTGTGTCCCCTCTCCCTTCAGAGGCCACGTGGCAGGGCAGATGTCCATCAACTGCCTTGGGCTGATCACATATTCGCAATAAACAACGGGGACCGGCGGGGCCTATGGAAGTTTTAAAGGGAAGACTTGATCACATTTCACCTTGTTTACTGTCTGCCTTGTAAACAACACACCTGGACTCTCACCCTGAAACTGGAAGCGGAGTTCCTAAAGTTCAAGTTTAAAAAGTCTGAAATCCAATCAACATTCTTTGGCTTTTTATAATTTGGTTATATATGTTAGAGGGTTGACATCCAGCTGATGTCCACAACTGCATGCATACATGTTAAATTATTAAACTACTTTCATGCCGGTTGGCAAATAGGTACTGCCCAGCCTTCTCAGCACCTACTTCTAATTTGGACCTCTTAGACCACTGCCTGAACAAGCAGCTGAAAGGCAGATGCCTGGCAGCAGGGCCTTCCTGGATCTGGTCATGATCCACTTTTAAAATTAGGCGTTTGAGCTCACAGTGTTCATTTTCCCAGCAATGTGTTTATTGCTGCCCAATTTTTGTCAGTGGTTTGACGGAAACGCGGTGGAGGGTGATGTTCTAGATTTTCCAGAGTCCAACCCTGGATCAAATCAGGTCAGCAGAGGAACTGAGAATGTGTATTTCATTTCAGTTTGTTCCTGCCACCTGCCACCCTCTCGAGAACTGGTCTTGCTGAGTTGTGTGTGGGGGTGATGTCATCAGCCTGTGCTGAGAGCCAGGGGAGGAAATGGCAGAAATGACACTCACTGTCGTCTGTCTTACAGAATGTTGTCAACCTGTGTTGCTTTGTATCACAGTGTCTATTTAGAAGAATCCTCAGAGACTTGCCTAACTGGTCTTAGAAGCAAAAACAGTTATATTACTCCTGGAAAGCTGTTCTTTTTCATCTGAGAAACCTGTCCGTCAGTGTCCAGTTTTCTTTTCTCCCTGTCTTTGTAAGTGTACTTACAATCATTCTGGAATGAAGCAAAGAAACAAAGGAAGGAAGGAAGGGAGCAAATACTTCAAGTTATGAAAAATCGAAGCAGATAGATGATCAAAGGAACCCAAATACACAGGCATTTTGTGTTTTTTTTCCTCAGCGAAATTTCAACATTAACTTATCACAGATTTATACTGAGTAATAATTATGTACTTTGCTTTTCAAAGCTCTGAAGTACAAATACTAAGTACCTGAAGAGGATATTCTCTTTAAGTGCCAAGTCTACAGACTTCTAAGCTCTTTTTTTTTTTTTTTTTAAGATTTTATTTGTTTATTTGACAGAGAGAGAGAGACAGGGAGAGAGGGAACACAAGCAGGGGGAGTGGGAGAGGGAGAAGCAGGTTTCCCGCAGAGCAGGGAGCCCAATGCAGGGCTCAATTCCAGGACCCTGGGATCGTGACCTGAGCCAAAGGCAGATACTCAACAACTGAGCCACCCAGGCACCCCCTAACCTCTTCTTACCACCATGTTTTTAGAAATACCCAGCACAGTTAGGGCTTTGTAGAATGATATTTGGACACTTGGCTTTCATTCAAAGGTAGGCATAATAAAAATGTCTTTGTAGGCTTTGTCCCGATTTGCCTTTTGCCAAACAGGGAAAGTCTGTTGTTCATAAGTTCCATAAACATGTAATCTAGGCATACCCAAGCACTGTGTCTTCTGAGATTACGGTTTCTTTTTTTCCTTTTGTTAATAAACTAATTCAAGTCTCATCCCACGTAATTGTGGGCCATCCTGTACCCTACCTACGATTTCCAAGGATTCTCCAGAGGACTGCATTCTTTTGATCCTCTCCTACTTTCAATTCTTACTCTGGTTGAATTCTTTGCCCCAAAGAATTCTTTGCTTCTCCTCCCTTACTTCCCTAAACATTGCTAACACAGGGTTATAGTGTGTAGCACTTTTATGGAAAAATTGGAGAGAACCCAAGAGGCACACAGGCTGGGGATCAACTTCCAAGTTCAGGGTTAGGTATGGTTGCCTCCCCCTGAGACTCCTCCCCCTGTCATGTCACTCTTCCTCTCCCTGTGTTCTGGGCAAGGAAGCCACTCACCAGGAGAAGATGAACATTTTCTAGTACCTTATCCTGCAGAGCATTTTAACTGCCTCCCTCAGACCCCTGCCTATTTCAGCAGAGAGGCCTTTCTATGCTGGAGTCTCCTATTACATAGTGGCAACAATAGCAAAGAATGGCAATGTTGTATATTATATTTTGCATTAAGTTCTGGAAAAGCAAATTCTTGGGCAGCATTCTCCCTTCACCAAGCAGGACCCATGTGTTCTGGGGACCTTCTGGTTTGTGGGGAGAAATCTGGAATCTGTAGTATATTAGACACTTTTTCCAGGTATTTTTGGGCTGTTAGTAGGGTAGCTAATCAAAAAAGTCTGGTAAAGATCTATAGCAGTGATAGACATACTATGTTTTGTATTTTACTAAAATACAGAATTTGATAATCTTGCAAATTGGGCTAAGGCCTTTTTTTGATTATTGGCTTACTAATTGGAGTTCCCTGGTATCACATTCTACCTATAATACATTGGTTACAGTGTCCTGTTTTTGTGTATTTATTTATTAAGATCTATTATTTATTTATTTTAGAAAGAGAGATACTGTTGTGGGGGAGGGGCAGAGGGAGAAGTAGCGAGAGTTTTAAGTAGACTCACCGCTGAGCAGGGAGCCAGGCGAGGTGAGGCTTAACCTCATGACCCTGACAAGGTCATGAGCCAAAACCAAGAGTCAGACACATAACTGACTGTGCCACCAAGGCACCCTTGGTTTTGTGTATTTAAAATAAGAGTTTTTTTCAAGCTGTCAGTGCAAAATATATCTAGATTTTTATGGCTACTTCCTGCCAATATTTGTTGGCTTTATTTGCACTTTTCTTGACCAAAATTCTCTTAGCAGTTTGCTTTTATCTAATTTTTCCAAAGTAGTCAATATATTTCTCCTAGAAGTGACAACCGTATTTCTTTTTGCGCTCATTTAATCAGTTTCATTTTATTGGAATTAAATAATTACAGTAACGTAAAATTGCACGCACAGATTTGGGAGCAAACATAACTGACTCCTGGTAAGCATGTGTTTCACGTGGTGGAGGCAAGGTGTGTCAGGGCCAGACTAGGCAGCAGCATCGGGGCAGGGGGACATTCTACAGAAGGAAGGTGGTGATTGGCTTGGAGCGTTGGTTAGTGAGGGTCCATTATGGGAGCTTCTCTCTGAGTAGATTAATATTAATAGCCAAAGGCCCAAGGGCTACCTCTGTCTACCAGGTATATGACTTCATGGATGTAACATCATCTCTCTAAATCTCAATTTCATTTGTAAATTATGGAAGAAAAAAAAGAATGCCAAACCTACCTGCTAGGAAGATCAAATGAAATAATGTATGTAAAGCTCTTTAGAAATAGTAAAATGCTGTAAAAAACAAAAATGTTTTTGTTACTATAGGTTTTTGTTTTTGTTTTTTCATTCACAGTATTTGATAGCTATGGGGAAATATTTGTTTGGACTCTCTCCTACCTTTCCTTTGTTTATGATGATTGATATTCTTGATTTTTAGCTTAACTGGAGCCATATGTGATGTGGAGAGGCTAAGTCCCCTGTAAATTGTTGTCCTGATAATGAGTTGAATTTTCCCAAATATAAATAACAGCCTTTCCGGATTTCCATTTAAGAAATAAGTTTGGTTCCAGTTAGAAACCAAGACATGTGATGGTTCATCTGGCAATGTTAAGGCCCCCAGACAGAAGCAAGACTTGTTCCCTATACTATACATATATTTCAATGTTTGAAACTTAAGACTCTGATGGTATTATCTAAGCAAACAACCATTCTGGCTAAAAATGTCCAAACCAGAGAGTTTTTATATATATATTATTTCATTAAATGAAGGTAAATAAAGTAGGTGTTATTATCTTATGTTTACATAGCAGGAAGTTAAGGCTACGAGGGGTTAAGAATCTTGCTCACACTCACATAGCATGTAGTAAGTGTTTGGGCTGAGCCTTGAATCCAGGGCTTCCAGTCCAAATCTCATGATGTCTTGTATGTAAACTCTCTCATACAGAAATTGGATAAATATACCTAAATGATTCACAGACTGGAGCAAACAGAAATAATTACAGAGTGTCTGAAAAGTCAAAAAACATAAGGATGAATTCATTTTTAGAAGCACATTTTTAGAAGTATTAATTACATTTTCAAATAATATACTCTTAGGATATTTTTTCAACTCCCAGAAAATATTTCAGGTGAAATACCTCTAAGCCTAAAGCAATAGGTCCAATCTATTTTTTATTCTGAAAAAGTACAATGAATATACTGTTTATGTTTCTAGACCTTTTGGACACCCTGTTGTGTCCAGGTCAGTTAGAAAAATTAGTAAAAAATCTCAACTTACTATTATGAGTGTCTGATGGTTGTATTAGCAACAAGTGATATAAATGAAATACTTGAAACATTATTAAGTGAGAACAATTTAATTCTTTTATTTATCACTGAAAATAGTAGAATTCTATTACAGCAGAACTCATTATTATGAATATTTGCATAGGCCAAAAATAAAAGCATGTCTCTAGAAACCTACTTAATCTACAATAGGAACTTGAATGACACAGGTCATTAAAAGTAATCATGATAATACAAAGTTATACAATCTTTAAAAAGAAAGGGATAGTAATTGGCTCAGGGTGGCTAACTCAGCAACTTTACCATCAAAAAGTCCCTGATGATGTCAGACAAGATATATTTTGAGGCAGAGTAAGTCTAGCACCGGACAAGAAGGTATACCATCTATGGATTAGACAGTTCCTTCCTCTGAAGGAAAAACAGATGGAAATCAATTGATGGAATAAGCTGCATGTTTAAATAGTGGCACTACTGGATTCTCAAAGATCATGGAATACTTTCAAACTTTGGAGATTTTGAACCCAAAGTCTTATATTTAAGTAAAAGAATATGCAAGAAAGAAGGCAAAATAAAGGCCTTTAAAGCATTTTTAAAGCATTCAAGACCTGAGAAAGTTTTCTTCCATAGGCAATATTGATGACACAGTCCAGAAAAATTAAAAGCCCAAAGAAAAGAAAGAAATGGGACAAAAGAAATATAAGTATATAAAGAAACCAATAAAAATTTTGGTTGTGTCTAAATAATATTGGTATGTAATGAGAGTGAAATATTTTATGGGTAATTTCTAGAAGAATAGAAATTTAATGCACTTTTTAATCCAATAAAAGGCAGGAAAAAGGATAAAAGCAAGAAGAAGTCGTGTAGCAAATTAAAAACATTAAATTGTAATGAAGTAGAAAGTACATAATTATCAGTAATCACAAAAAATATGAACGTTATATTTTTCAGTTATAATACCTTAATTAAAACCTCTGGTTTCAATTAAATTAAATTAAAAAGGGTTGCAAAGGGGTGCCTGGGTGGCTCAGTGGGTTAAGCTTCCTAATCCTGATTTTGGCTCAGGTCATGATCTCAGGGTTGTGAGACTGAGCCACAAGTTGGGCTCCCCTCTCAGCAGTGCAGTCTGCTTGAGATTCTCTCTCTTGTTCTCCTTCTGCCCCTCCTCCCTGCATTCTCTCTCTCCCCTTAAAATAAATTAATAATAATAATAATAACTAAAAATAATAAAATAAATATTTTTAAAAATGTTTGCAAAACTTTAGCTTCTATTTATGACATATTTAGGGTCAAATGATAAAGAGAGATTGAAAAAGTTATTGCAAGCAACTGCTAATTGAAAAGTAGGGTATAGGGCACCTGGGTGGCTTAGTTGGTTAAGTGACTGCCTTCGGCTCAGGTCATGATCCTGGAGTCCTGGGATTGAGTCCCACATGGGGCTCCCTGCTTAGCAGGGAGTCTGCTTCTCTCTCTGACCCTCCCCCCTCTTGTGCTGTCTCTCTCTCATTCTCTCTCTCTCAAATAAATAAATAAAATCTTAAAAAAAAAAAAGAATTCCCTGATGTTTAAAAAAAAAAAAGAAAAGTAGAATGTAATAATGTTATCAGGAAAAATGAATTCAAGAAGCATCATATTAAATGAATTCAAGAAGAATCATATTAAACAGAACAAAGAAGAATAGTTCATATGGATTCAAATTATATCAAGCCACAAATGAGTCATAAACTTTTATATCCCTAATAACTTGGCAAAATGCACATAGAGCAAAAGGGGAGAAAAATATGGAGAAATTGATAAATTTGCAGTCTTAATGAGATATAGAAATGCATCTACTTCAAAAATGGACAGATAAACAAAAATTAAGTAAAGATATAACTGATTTTAGTAGTATAATTAACACATTTGGCCCAAAAGGCATGTGTAAAACTTTGCACCTGATGTAAAGCGTACTAATTGTTTTCAAACACCTATGGCATGTTTATAAAAATCTATCATATGTATCTCATAAAAAGACTCTCCACAAAATTTAAAATATAGAAATCATATAGGGTATATTATTTGACCAAAAATCAAAATTCACAAAAGAAGGTAGCCAAAACAAACTATTTACTTAGAATTTTTTTTTATTATGGTATGTTCGTCACCACACAGTACTTCATTAGTTTTTGATGGAGTGTTCCATGATTCATTATTTGCATGTAACACCCAGTGCTCATTGTAATACGTGCCCTCCTTAATACCCATCACCGGGCTAACCCATCCCCCCACCCCCCTCCCCTCTGAATCCCTCAGTTTGTTTCCCGGAGTTCATAGTTTCTCTTGGTTCATCTCCCCCTCTGATTTCCCCACCTTCATTTTTCCCTTCCTTCTCCTAATGTCCTCCATGATATTCCTTATGTTCCACATATAAGTGAAACCATATGATAATTGTCTTTCTCTGCTTGACTTATTTCACTTAGCATAATCCCCTCCAGTTTCATCCATGTCAATGCAAATGGTGGATATTCATCCTTTCTGATGGCTGAGTAATATTCCATTGTATATATGGACCGCATCTTTATCCATTCATCTGTTGAAGGGCTTCTTGGCTCCTTCCACAGTTTGGCTATTGTGGACATTGCTGCTATGAACATTGGGGTGTTACTTGGAAATTTTAAAAAGCATATACTTCTAATTAATTCTTGGACGAAATAGGAAATCAAAATTGAATTTATAAATTATTAAAGAATTGATTTTTAAAGCAATATACATCCAAACTTAGGGAATATAGCTAAAGCAGCATTAGGGAAAATGTGTAGCATTACTCATACTTATGAGAGAACATGGCAAATAAATGGACTATATTTTCAACTCAAGTGCTAGAAAAAGAACAAAATAAGTCCAAAAATTTGGGGGGAACCCCAAAATAATAAAGAGAAAAGCAAAAGTTAATAAGTTAGGAAAAACAAGAGTAGTTGATTGGTATAACTTATTGATCAGTAAGAAGCCAAATTTTGGTTCTTTTAAAAAACTTTTAAAATAGACAAACACTTGGCAGTTGTAATCAAGAAAAAGGGAGGGAGCATCTGAGTGGCTTATTCAGTTAAGCAGTTAAACATCTGCCTTTAGCTCAGGTCATGATCTCAGGGTCCTGGGATGTAGCCCTGCATCAGGCTCCCTGCTCAGTGGGGAGTCTGCTTCTCCCTCTCCCTCTGCTTCTCCCCCTACTTGTGTTCCCTCCCTCTCTCTCTCAAAAATAAAATCTTAAAAAAAAAAAGAAAGAAAAAGGGAGAAGCTTTATAAAGATAACCTTGATAATAAGGAAGAGATGTAACTACAGATACAGATAACTTAAAAAATTATGAGAATTCTGTGCTTGTCTTTATAGGAATAAATGTAAAAGTCTAAATGCAAGGATGATTTCCCATAAATCCCTATAATTGGTTTATAAGAATTTAGAAGGTAGAATATATCTTTTCCTAAAAAAGGAACCTAGCCCAAATAGTTTTGAATAGTCAAGTTCATTACACATCAAAATTCCCATGTTACATAAAATGTCAAAAGCATAGAAAAAGATAGAAATCTTCGTAACTTATTTTAGAACTCCAAAAGCAAAGATGATGTAAAAGAAATAGTTTATAATAGCATCAAAACTAATAAAATACTTAGCAATAAATTTAACAAAATAAGAGCAAAATTTGTACTTTTAGAACGATGTAACATTCTTGAAGGACGTTAAGTATTAAATGGAGAAACATCTTATGCTCATGGATCAAAAGACTTAATATTGTTAAGGTGGTAATCTACTCCCAAACTAATCTACAGATTCAACACAATACCCATTAAAGTTCCAGTGGGCTTCTTTGCAAAAATTGAAAAGCTGATCCTAAAATTCATATGGAAATTTAAAAATTCATATTTAAGAAATGTAAGTAGCTAAAACAATCTTGAAAAAGAACAGCAAAGTTGGAAGATTCATACTCCTGATTTTAAATTTACTCCAAAACTACAGTAGTCAGGACAATGTGGTACTGGCATAGGATAGACATCTAGGTCAGTGGACTGGAACTCAGAGCTCAGAAAAAAACCCCTTAAATTGGGGCTCCTGGGTGGCTCAGTCAGTGGTTAAGCGTCTGCCTTCCACTCAGGTCGTGACCCCAGGGTCCTGGGATCAAGCCCCACGTCGGGCTCCTTGCTCAGCAGGAAGCCTGCTTCTCCCTCTCCCGCTCCCCGTGCTTATGCTTGTGCTCTCTCTCTCTCTGTCAAATAAATAAAATCTTAAAAAAAAAAACCCCCAAACCCTTAAATTTATGGTCGATTGATTTTTTGACAATGGTGACAAGACAATTCAATGGAGGAAAGAATAGTTTTTTCAAACTATTTGTGTTGGGACAACTGGATATTCACATGCAAAAGAATGAAGTTAAACTCTTAACTCACATTATACACAAAAATCAATTCAAAATGGACCATAAAGCTAAAGATAAGAGCTAAAACTAGAACATTCCTAGAAGAAAGCATAAGTGTATATGTTCATAGCATTGGATTAGGCAATGGTTTCTTTTTTTTTTTTTTTTAAGATTTTATTTATTTATTTGACCCAGAGAGAGAGAGAGTGAGAGCAGGAACACAAGCAGGGGGAGTGGGTGAGGGAGAAGCAGGCTTCCCGCTGAGCAGGCGGCCCAATGTGGGGCTCGATCCCAGGACCCTGGGATCATGACCTGAGCCGAAGGCAGATGCTTAACGACTGAGCCACCCAGGCGCCCCTAGGAAATGGTTTCTTGGGTATGACACAAAAGCACAAATAATGAAAGAAGAAAAGATAAATTGGGCTTCATCAAAATTAAAAAAACTTTTGGGCTTGAAAGGACACCATCAAGAAAGTGAAATGGTAGGTAACCCACAAATTGGAAGAAACTATTTGCAAATCATATATACCTGATAAGAGAGTTGTATCCAGAATACATAAGGAACTCTTACAACCCAATAGTAAAAATAATAAAAAATAATTCAATTAAAAATAAGCAAAGGATTTGAATAGACATTTCTCCGGAAAAGATACACACAGATGGCGAGTAAGCACATGAAAAAGGTGCTCAACATCGTTAACCATCAGGGAAATGCAAATCAAAACCACAGTGAGATACCATTTCACACCCACTAGGATGTTTACAATCAAAAGGAGAGATACTAGTGTTGATGAGAATGTGGAGAAATTGAACCTTTCATACATTGCTTGTAGGAATGTGGAATGTCTTTTAGAAAACAACCTGGGGCGTGCCTGGGTGGCTCAGTAGGTTAAGCACCTGCCCCCGGCTCAGGTCATGATCTCAGGGTCCTGGGATTGAGCCCCACGTCGGGCTCTCTGCTCAGTGGGGAGTCTGCTTCTCTCTCTCTCAAATAAATAAAAAAAATCTTAAAAGAACCTGGTAGTTCCTCAAAAGGTTAAACACAGATTTGTAATATGACCCAGCTATTCTGCTCCAAGGTATATACCCAAGAGAAATGAAAACCTATATACTCACAAAAATTTGTATGTTCATAACAGCATATTCATAAGAATCATAAAGCAGAAATCACCCAAATGTCCATCAACTAATGAATGAATAAGCAACATGTGGTATATCCATGGATATTCAGCCATAACAGGAAGGATACATGCTACACCATGGATGAACTTTGAAAAATTATGCTCAATGAAAGACACCAATCACAAAAGACCACATATTATATGATCCCATTTATGTGAATTGTCCAGAATTGTCCAGTCTATAGAGATAGAAAGTAGTCTAGTGGTTGTCTAGGGTTAGGGGGACATGTGAGGGAAGATGGGTGGCTGCTGTTAATGGGTTTCTTTTTTGGGTGATGAGAATGTTCTAAAATTAATTGTGATGGTTATATGAAATCTGTAAATACACTAAAAACCATTGAATTCTACACTTTAAATGGGTGAATTCTATGGTATATGAATCTCAACAAAACTGTTAAAAGTATTCAAAAAAAAGTGAAAACCAGTTTTTCCTATTCACTGTCAATATATTAAATAAAATACTAGTAAACCAAGTCAGCACTATATAAAAAGAATATTATTAACCCAGACATGCTAGGGTAATCAATCATAAGTAAATATATTATTATAATTGCAGTAGAAGATTCGGCATTTAATATATAAGGATTTAAATACAGTATTTTGCCATTTTGGAGGAGGAGCAAAGAGAAGTGTTTACCAACCCTCCACACTGCAAATTTTTTTTTAAATAAAGATTTTATTTATTTGAGAGAGAGAGTGCGCACAAGCTGGGGGGAGAGGCAGAGGGAGAGGGAGAAGCAGGCTCCCCACTGAGCAGGGAGTCCGTTGCGGGGCTCAGACCGAGGACCCCAAGATCATGACCTAAGCTGAAGGCAGACACTTAACCAGCTGAGCCACCCAGGCATCCCCACATTGCAAGTTTTTAACACATTATAATGACAGGCTTTTAAACATAAACATAACCAAGACCACCAGTGGGAGTTGCCTTTTAGTTAGTAAGGTTGGAGGGGCTTTGGGATGCTCAGCAGGGGAATGGAGACTTGGTGATACTCAAGTGGAGGACATGGAGACCCACATCTCTCAGATGGAGGAGATGAGACCCCTGACAGCACGGGAAAGAAAGGTCAACATCATAGGTACAAGTCAGCTAACTTCAAAAAGGCTCTTTGGAAAGTGATACTGATAATATACATTTGGAAAGTGGCGTAGAGGCTTTAGCTTCTAGTTAAGGATAAGATGCACTATTATGTGAAAGGACTGATCCCTCTCTTCCCCAACACACTGACAAATTAAGTAATCCAAACTCTGTGGTCCTCTCAATAAGGTGAAATAAAAAGTGATTTTAATCAATCACTTTGTTCTGCTCTCCGAGGACAGCATGTCCCCCAGCCCCGGCCTTTGTCCCCAGTGTGGGAAGGACCAAGGATCACAGTGTGGGGGTTAAGGCTGCATGTTATATCATCCCATATGTTTTCTGGAAAGTGGGATATGCAGGAGGTTGTTGTGTCTAATTTCAAGGATAGACCAGTGACCTTTCCAAGTCTCAAATTTATGCGGATATTTTCATTGTAATAATAGCTTCCCTGAATTCTTTCCTTAGCTCACTTCAGTATAAGAGCTGCTTAATCGATTCTATTACTCTTTTAACCAAGTATATTACTTTTTTATGTATGATACACCCATATTGTAGTCTGCCCACCAAGGTTTGTAATCCCAGACCAACCATGCCCTTATGTTACAAGGTTGCACAAGGTTCTGGTAACAGCCACATTGTGATGCAAACTCATGGTACCATGTCCTTATGAAATCTTATTTAACTGATATCATGCTCTTCATATTTCGTTGGTTCCTTAGGCCATTAGATCTACTTTTCAAGACTCATATTCAATCATCTTACTTTATTGGAAACATTTTCCATATTTAATGGACTTACAATGCTGGTAAAACAATCTCACCCAAGATACATCCTCCCTTCCTTCCTTCCTTCCTTCCTTCCTTCCTTCCTTCCTTCCTTCCTTCCTTCCTTCCTTCCTTCCTTCCTTCTTTCCTCCCTCCCTCACTCCCTCCCTTCCTTCCTTGATAGGATTGTATCTCATCTAAGCAAACAATAAAGACATATTCATGTGGCAAAATAGTAATAGCTTGCATTTACTGAGTGTGCATTATGTACCAGGTCAGGACTAAGTGCTTTACACACAATATTTCTGTTTTCATTAGCCAGCCTCATTTTAAATTCTAAACCACAAATCTCAAAAGGGCAGTCAGTACCTCACTTCTTGCTGTACTTCCTAGGATGTTCTTTTTCTCACTACAGTGATGATTTCAGACCTTTTCTCTCTTTGCAAAACCCAACTTCTTCCCCTATATTCATACCAGCTGATGGCCTTGCTTATACTTTATTGAGAAAATAGAAACAATCGGATGGGAACAAACATCATCCAACCAAGCAAATCTCCAAATTTCCTTGCATTTGTGCCTCTGCTCTCTACCTTGCGTCTTGTTACAATGGATGAAGAATCACTGTTTTCCTCCTTTGTCTTTTCTAGGACGTTGCTCTTGGAAGAATCTCCTTCTCTTGCTTGCATTTATAATGTCTTTCTCTCTATAGTATAGTTCTAACAGGATGCAAAAATCCTCTAGCATCTTCCATCTCAAAAAGACAAAAATAAAAACCTCCCTTGACCTCATTCCTTTTCTTGCCAGGACCCATTTCTCTAAACTTCCAAAGAGTTGTTTATATTACTTTCTCCACTTGCTCAAGACCTATCTCTTCTAACTCCCTCCAAACAGGCTTGTCTTTCCATAGTGCTGAGACCATTCTTGACCAAGTTTGGTTGACCTCCATATTCCCAATCTACTGTCATTTCATGTTTTGTTTTTTTTCCCCCCTTACTTGACTTCAGTATTTGATGAAGTGAACTACTCCTTTCTTCTTTTGGTTTCTATGACATCACCCTCTCTTGGTTTTCTTCCATATCATCTGTCACACTATTTCCAGCACCTTTGCTGGTTCCTTGTCTGCTCAGACTTGCCAGTGTGATTGTTAAGATAGGAGGAAAATCAGAAGATGGAGTTTTGGATACCAAAGGAAGGAGATGTGTGCATCCTAGAGGCTGAATAAGGAGTAGTCACCAGTGGAGAACGGTTGAGCCCAGTGGCCTGGCAACCTCAGAGATGCATTCAGCGGCATCATGGTGTCAGGATAGGGATAAGGCTGAAGTAGAGGAGGTAGCTATTTCCAAACAATCTGTAGACCAAGGAGGGGCTCAGATCATTCCTATTTGGGTTCTACTGGTTACAGTAAGCTACCAGGAAAAAGGAAATGCATTAGGATTTCCCCTTGCACTAAAGAATAAAGACGGAGCGGAAGTTATTCTGCATCAAAAACACCTTTGAGGAAGGGAAACAAATGTGGGCAATAATGTAAATAAAGCCATTTGGCCTTGAGAAATGGATAGGACACGGAGAGAGGAGGAGAAAACAGATTAAGTAAAAGAAAACCTGCCAGTCAGTTCACCACCTCACCTTAATATCCTTTGCATATTAGTCCTCTTTAGTGATAACACTCCTTAACAGAAACATGAAAATTTGTAGAGCGGTCAATAAGAGCAATTGGTTTGGAGGGCAACATCCTTGTTTCTTGGTGTATAATTCCAAAATAAATAAAGGACCCCAAGCAATATAACAGCAATATTTTCAAGAGCACTTGTCACAGTAAGCACATGAACAGAGAAAATGGAATAAGATTTATCTTCATGCATGAGCTAGGATGTTGTGAAAATATTATAAACCATTGGCCATAAACCCAGTCTCCATGTTGTATAGCCAAGGGTGCTAAGTTACAGTAGTGGTGGAAACGCTACAACCAGTCTTCTTTTAGTTACTCAGAGTGATAATTTTAGGCGTCTTTCAGAGTAGCTAATTAAAAAGTGTGGAGATTGCAAAATCAGTTTGAACAAAAATATGAGCAAACTTCAGAGTAAACGAAAGTACTACTATATCCCATATCTGTTCCACTGTTTCAGCAAATGGAGCTGCCACTGACCCAACAGCCCTAGCAGGAAACCTGTGGGCCTTCCTACCCTTCTTCCCTTCTCTCCACACTTCCTGCTTGGTTCTTTGAGTTAGCCGTCAACCCTTGAGCATCTGCTTTCAGCCTCACTCTTGCCTGGGGCCTGGGTGGGGAGGTGGTTATGTCATCGGTGGGTCCCTTCCAGCCTCCTCGCAGACCTCGGTTCTTGAGTTCAGCCAAGAAAGACCTCAGAGCCAAACTCTCAAGTAAGCAAGCCTTTATTAGAAAGTGCAAAAGCGAAAGTACACTTTCAGGATGGGAGAACAGGCGGGCCCAGAGATGGCAACTGTACAAGGGGCTGGAGGTGTCTTCTCTTTTTATGCTTGCATTGTTTAAGGGTCAGAGCTAGGGCAGTCTCTGAGATGGCTTTC